TATACAAAGCTCTACCAAAAGAGCATGGAATTTGAAGATCAACGCTAAAAAGTCCTAGGTTCCTTTGCTTTAAATGCACATCAAATTTAAGCATAGATTCTTAAGTCCCAGGCTCCTTATTTCCATATATCGTCCCTTAATGTCAACTAATAGTTCTTGGAATTTAACAAAGAGTTCGTAAATGCTGAACTCTAATTTGTGTACATGTAATTGTTCCCTAAATGCTTCAAAATTAAACCGGACTTATCAGTGTTTGGGCTTGTGAATTGATTTACTGAGGTTTTATTGACGTGATTTCGAATTGAAAGGAACTTATCTTGGCTGTGAATCGAAGGGGTAATTCATTGATCCTGGACTCATTTTCCCTAATAAAACTTTCTCATGTGAGCATCAAATTTGAAGATGAAAGGAAAAATCCTGGGCTCCTGGTTTTCCTCTGTTTATGTGCGTTACTAAGTTCGCCTGGAATCTAATCTCCTATGAGGGGAGAGCTGAAGCGCCAGCTGATTCTATGGAGCTTATATGCGATCAGAAGAAACACCTGTAAAGACAGCAAGGAACTGGAGCTTTCACTTCTCTCATGTCAATTGTATCTCGTCTATATCTTTATTGCAGGGAACGGAGAGTTCTATCTTGGCTCTACCAGTTGCCTCATTAGAGGATTCTTGGTCCTTGTGGCTTTTATATAGCGATTGTATTCCTGTTTTCTCGAATAAAAAACCTTGAAGAATTTCATTTGCTACAATTTGGGTTGCGCTTCTCGACCTCGAAAAACAAACTTTTCGGAATACAAGGCCTTCATGGCTGACCTCGAAAAATGAAGAACATTTTCGCCCTGGCATACTTGCTACGGGTCGGACAGATTTCTATAGACAGTGTTTTGGAGCTTGGCAAAGGTTAATGTGTAGAATAATGGGTCTTAAGCTTGTCGGGGGTGATGGGTCTTTAAGTTTGGATTTCAGGGTTAGGAGCTCTAAGTTTCAGCAGATCCTTGAGCTGCTTGGCCTCAGATTTGTCAAGACTGGTGGGTCTTCGACTTTGGACGTCAGGGTTAGGGGGTTCTGTGTTTGAGCAAAT